CTTGGAAAAATGCTCTTCTCCTAAAGGACAGAAGGAATTTTAAATTGCAACAATACACTTGAGGCAGAAAATTTGGGTGAGGTGTTGGAAAGATAGAGGGGTCCTCTGAGCAGATCTCAAATTAATATATTGCTGTGCTTGTGCATTCTGTGACCTGCTCTTGCAAACAAACGTGTAATGTATATACACCTACACATGGTGCAGTGTTTGTAAGTAAAAACATTAAGCACAAACACTTCTGCATGCATCTGACAATAGGATAGTCAGGGCTAATCCATGGAACTGTTCTGAACAGAAAATAAACTATGATTTAAAAACCAGTGATAGGTGGATCTCATTGCCTGGTAAAGACATACAGGGTCTGGAATTCCTTCACTGCGAGGACTGATAAATGTAACACTCACTGATGAAAGTTTGCCAGAAAGCATTAGAAGTGAATTCTAGATCCGCTCTCTGTGTTGTTTCTAAAGACCAGACATAAAAGGGCCTGTGGTACCAGAGAAGTAACAAAGCTGCCGACTGTCATCCCAGTAGGGATTGCAAGCTCAGGCTGGATGCAGAGTAGAAATGGGCTCAGTATGAGCTGCTTTGCAGCTGATGTGTCCTGCTGTGTATTAAGAATGTGTTCAGAAAACTCCTCTAGTCTACATATTAAGAAACTCCTCTACAAGTTTTAATAATGATTGATATTAGACACTTTCACAGAAACCTTTCAGGACTCAGAAAATCTCCTGTGTCAGAAATGCATTCTCTAGGAATACAGCTTTACTGGCAACGTGTTGAGATTCAAGTGTCTGAGGGCAGACTGTGCCCTGCACATAAATAGATCAGTCCCTAAATCCTAATGAAATTTGGGCTGGAAGTGCCTTTGAGGCCTGACAGTCACCCATCTCCAACCCATTTCTACAGCATCTTTAGTGGGAAAGGTATTACACCGAGATGCAAAATGCCAGGCCTGTGCTGCAAGAACTGACAATTTAGTTGGATGTCTCAGTGTAACAGCTTACATGGGATGGATGATGTTGGGTCAGATTCTACCACTCTGGTCAAGAGCAGGAGCTCAGTCTGGTACACACCAGGAGAAATGCTGAGAGGGGTCATGGTGGCTGTTACTCTGTTAATGACAACATAACAAATAGTTACTGGAGCCAAGACTGCAGAGAGGTTGGATTGGATAGGGAGGAACTGCCTGTGGAAAAGCACCACATTTCTGCAGAACGCAGATCCAGAACACGATAGCAGTGCTGAGGGACACACACACCCTGGGCACATTCATCTCCCACCCGTTCCTTTCCAGGCAGAAAGGACTGGCTATTGTTTAGTGCTCCAGGAGGACAAACTGCCCACTGATTAAAACTCCTAATTTCCTGTTAAAGGTTTTGCAATTATCAGCTTGCATGATGGTAAAAGTGCTATTTATGGCAATGGAAATTTAAACAAAGCAACACAAAATTGCCCTGCATACAGCTGATCTGTGCATCACATGTTTTATTAAAATGTAAACTCCACTGTAGCACTATGGCAAATGCTAGTCTAAAAATAAATTCCATATATCTGAGGAACATTCTCTGAATGTCCAAATCACTGGTTTTCTCAAACACTAATATATGCCTTGCCACCCATACTGTAGGACCAAGCAATGCAATACGTGGCCATTGACTTCAACGAGACCAGGCGTTAACCCCACAAACAGAGCTCCACTAAAACTGCAGGCAGTGTTTGGAAGATAGCATCAAGGAGAGAAGTGGAAATTTGACCCAGAGGTGTTTTAAAGGTAGCACGGACACAAAGAAGCTCTCATTTCCAGGTGGTGGCTTGGAATCACACCCTTAGCTGTGATATCCTGAAGCTAAATTCAGACCCAGGACTAGAAGCTGCCTCTGAGAAGCAACATCATTATTCCTACTTGTTTCAAGATCAGCACTGGTACTACATGTTCTGGTGGCCATCAGGAGAGACCACATGAGCTGAATGAAAATAAAGCCCCAGTAATTCTCTGGCCTGGGCATGGTACCTGCATAAAAAGCTTGAAGCTGCTGTCATGCCATCTTTGATCAAATAAGCAGTAGATTTCTACTAGCAAAACTATAGCATATGAAAAAAGTTCAGTTAAAAATTAAAAAAAAAAAAACCTTTTAATTTTTAAATGGACAAGTTCTTATTTTTCAAATGGCCACATTAATTCACTTCCATTTCATCCTTCACTTAACTAGCACAAAAGAAAGGAAAAAATCAAAGAGAAAGAGATTTCAGATGTAGTACTTATATATTTCTTTAACTTCAAATTCCCTTATGTTCAATAAAAAACTTTAGTGGATTATGGTGGATTATCCTAGAAACATTGCTTAAACTTGTATTTTGTAATAAAATCTTACCTCAGCTAAATGAACAGAGGAAGGTCATTGCCCGTAAATATCATGTTTTAAACATAAATTTTTATATCTCTTTCTATATTGTGGGAAATTTTTACTCCCACTAAACTTTGTTTTAATACAAACATTCTCTTCCTTCTACACTAAGAATGAAATAAAGCACATGACTCAGATCTGCGTGGCTGGTCTGAAGTTATATATTTACCCTTCCATTTGTCACTAGATTTTGCCGCCTTGCCTTGTAAAACCCCATGTAACTTCTGACAGAGAACACCTAGTCCTAGACAAAATGGAAAAAACTTGACCTTTTCCTATATATATTTGCAGAACTGTACAAATCGCGGTTCCCAACGGGCTGACGCTTTGCTCTCTTATGCAAGACAAGCAATTGCTCACAACCCTGGCAAAGTCAGCATGCAGCTACCTGGTAGCCTGTTTTCTCATGGTGGGTCTGATCTTCAGGGATGCTGAGTACCCATGGACACATGCTGAGACCCTCACTTGCCTCCCTTGGGAACAGAAAGTGATGAAAAACTCTTTTCCTCATGATGTTCATCAGCAGTATTTTAGCTGTTGGCTTCAGAGGTCATGAAATAAGACTTCCCAGTGCCATCAAAGAGCTGCTCTGTACATTGCAGAATAAGGTCCTGCAGTGACTAAGCCTGCAGGAGACAATCCGCCTGTCAACAACAGAGTGCTTTTATGCGGAAGCGGGAGTTGAACAAGTCAGGGAGAGGGACTGTGTCTGTGGAATTCCTTTGCTCAGTGGATAAAATTTGGGCTGTACAGAGTATGAGTGTTTATTTATTCCCACAGTATTGTTGTTGCATGCCAGAGTGGCAAAGCTGCGGGTAACCACCTATTCAGAGACTTTACCTGACTCAAACTAGCTAGTATTTTTTCAATTTATCCTAATAGCATCCTGATGCCCCACCAAAGCCTGGCCAGAGTGTTAACATCTTGTTTGGTCTGAAAGAAACCAAACTATCTGATGTAAAAAATTGTATTTTCTCCTTCTGGAAAGCTCTTCAGACACTGGTTGTCTGTATTGATTTGACGTAAGTTTCCAAACAAACAAACTAGTAGATGCATAAAGTTTCCATTCACTTTCCATACAATTCCATGGGCAGTGAAGAATGGCTCATTTCAGTGGAAAATTCCTCGACACTTTCTACATAACATCTCAGTTTGCTACAAAAGGAAGGCTGATTTTCTTCTTTCCTACCCTGGTAATGTGATACATTTGTATGGTACAATTTATGGTGGACAAAAACCAGCTAAGTAAGAACAGTTACTAAGACTTCCATCACAGAGGAACTTTTTGGAGTTGTGAGAGTTTAGTTATAGGAACTGTGACTTTGTGAGATGCTAGCAAATTACTCTATGCTGTATTATACCACATCTCTGTTACCTACATAGTAGAGGCCAGATAAGATTTTTATACACAGCATGGAACATGCAGTTTACTGTTGGAGGACAGAATAGCCAGGATTTGTGTTCCTGTATGCAAAGCCGCAGGCTCAGATTTTCAATGGTTAATCCTCACTACTCACTTCATATTTTTCTCGCTATGTATCCACAAGCTGTGAACAAAAAACATCTGTCAGACAGGTCTTCTGTTCCCTCCCCTCAGCACAGCAGGGCTTTGAGACCCCCTGAGTGGACTGTAACCATTCATCACCCATAAAGAAACACTGGCATTTTAGAAAAGGCACATGAAATGATGTTTTGAGAAGAGTCAGATCCAGTTCTGAACACAACCCATAGAAGTCTATTGCCTAAGGGACTTTAGAGGTACTGAAATATATTTTTAAGACCAGAGTCCACTGACATCTGCTCCTAGTCTCTGCAAGAACCGTGTCATGATCATGTTGTGCTCTCCTTGTCAAGTTCGCCTATAAAATCCCAAAGTGTTAGAAACATTCCAGTGAACTCAGTAACAGCGGGGAATGAAGCTAAAACCTGTACCTTGCATGCTATTGATGATGGATTAGCCTTTGAAAACTCCCCTGAGCCCATCTGGCTCCTAGGAGAGTTTCAGAGGAGCCCACACAGTCAGCACACTGATTCCCTGAAGCAGAGGAAAACAAAATCCTACCAGGAAGAGGAAGGAAGAGAGACAAATCACTTCTACACTCCCTCATGCCAGCCAGCTATCAGAGTGCACGCTGACATCTCCCAACCCCTCCAAAAACAAAGTGACATTGTTGCTAAGACCCATGCAGCCATAGAGCACCACATTCCTTCCTACAGCCAGCTCCAGAGTTTTGATTCAGCTCTTGATCTCAGCTGACAGCTAGGGCTGCCCTTTGGACAGTGTGCCTACAGGCTTGGGTACAACAAGCAGCAGGAAAGCAAAAGGGAGGGAAAGGGAGAAAATAAAATTAAAATGTAATTTCTTTTTTTTTTTTCCCAAATGAAGAATTGAATTATTTAACCTTTAAACATGCTTGTTTACTTACAGAAAGAGTATTTCAGGCACAAAAGGTTTGAGTATCAGTCACATACCAGGTTAAATTGTAATAGTATCAGGATTGTCCCATGCAGTGTAGTCAGCTATATTATCCCCTATCAAGAAGTTGAAGTTGTAGTTTTTGTACACATACATCTACATAAAGTACACAACTTTCACACTATGGTCTCCTGGTCTGAGTTGACTCCAGCAGGGTTTATGTAACAACAGTATCTGTCATAAGGGCTGTTCTCCTTGTAAGAGCAGACAATGATACTGTCTTTAGGAGCAACGAAAATGTTATCTTCAATGTCAGGGCAAGCAGCGCTGTCTCTGCTGGGAGAAGAGCTCTTCTCCAAGGCACTGTATATGGAACCATCTCCCACGAACACATTCCCCGGCATCTCTGGGTAACAAGTCTCCAGGTACCTCAGCATCTCCTCCTGCTCCACCTTTCTGATGAGGCTCTTGCATTCTCCCGTGGTGGTGGTGGTGGTGGTGGTGCAGATGGACACGGAGTCCTCACCTGGCAGCATTCTCCTGTCCTTTTGGTATGCTTTCTTGGCCAGCTCATCGCAACTCCCCTTGCCAGACTCCAAGTCTGAGGGGGTCCTCAGCAGCTCCATGACATCCCGGTCCTTGACTTGCTTGCAGCACGGACACTTGTTCTTGGGCCATTTGGTGCAGCCGTCGGTCTTTCTGGTGAGGGCAATGGCAGCGATGCCCGGCAGGCAGATAGCCGGCCCGATGGCCAGCAGCGGGATGTCCCCCAGGGTCTCTCCCTTGATGCCGGACACGGTGAACATGAAGCCGAACACCAGGAAGACGCTGACCAGAGCCACCACCAGCCCCGTCCGGGGGTTGATGTCGTCGGGTCTCATGGTCCGCGCCAT